CCGGCCGGCCCCCGCCGCAGGAGGGATCGGGGGAGGCCCCAGGCCCTGGTGCCCGCTTGTCTCTCGCTGCCCCCACCGGCCGCGCAGCCCCCGCGGAGGGCGGGGAGATGCAGCCCCCGGGTCCTCAGCAGCCGCCGCTCTATGCGCCCAGCAACGGGGACTTCACCTTTGTCTCCTCGGCAGACGCCGAAGGTGAGCGCGGGGCCGCGGTTGGGGCCGCTCTCGCTCTCCCGAGAGAAGGGCTCAGCCAGGCTCCGGGGGAACGGGCGGCTCCCGTGCCGCTGAGGCAAGAGGTGCCTTCTCTGCCCTCCTACCCCCGCCCCCGAAGTTGGTGGCGTGGCCGGAGGCGGAGCGGGGTGGCTGAGGTGGCCGCGGTGGCCGCTGCCCTCGGGCTGCGGCTCCGGCTCCGGGACTCCGCTGCAGCTGGGCGCCGGGAGCGGCGCTTAACGCGGGTGCGAGCTGCTGCTTTATCCGCGTGGCGGAAGCCGCAGCGGGGCAGAGCCGGCCGCGGTGCTCCGTTTCTCACGTTCTCTGAAAGCCGCAATCGAGGTCGTGCCCAGCGACCCGACATAAGCGTGCCAAGCGCTGTCACAGACCGCTCCTCTTTCCCACCGTGCTGGAAGCGCGGTTCCGCGCCTGCTGAAGATTGTACCGTATGTTCACATTCGCCGTAGTGCTGTGCCAAAGTCTCGGTGGCGTGTCTCGTTTCAGCACAGTAATGAGGGGGAAAAATAAGCCCCGTGTGTAGTTTAGGGGGTGAAGCGTGGCCTGCTGCCTAACTGCTGCACAAATAGCTGTGGTGTACCAGCATGCCATGAAGATCTGCCTTAAGACTGCGAAAACGAACATACAAGAGTCAACATTGTGCTAACTTATTTTGATGGAGAATGACCTTTTGGGCTCTGCCCATTTAAACAACAAGCGTTCTACTTTATGTATGTATTTAGTCGCTGTTGTAATTGCGGATGGGGTAGGGAATCATGTAAATCCTGACTCATGTGCCCCACCCTGGAAAAGAATTACTGAAGTGGAAAAACTACTGTAGAATGCCTGTTCTTTGGTGAACTTCCCAGTCCTTCTGACAAGGAATGCTAATCAACAGGTACAATCTCGGCTTTGTTTTTTTGTTGTTGGTTTGTTTGTTTTGGTTTTCTTCCCCACCTTAGCCTGAAAAAGGATCCACGTACCTCTGAATGGAAACTCTTTGGATTACCACTTCAAGTATTTGTGGAGCAATGCTGAACCCAATCCAATACAGCCACCTTTCCAATAGGATGTGTTGAATTGGACTCGGCTCTGTGTTCTTTATGAACACAAGAAAGGCGTGATCTCCTGCCTGTTCAAGTGTAGTCCTGTCTGCAAAGTGCTGCATGGACCTACCCTGACAAATAAAAGCATAAGCAGAATTAAACAGCTTGATATTTCTAAATTAAAATACTACACGTTGTGCTCTAATTTCTAGTTGTTTCCCAAATCTTGATCCTTATGAAAAATAAAAGTATAAGCTGTTTTATTTTCCCATCTTATTTCCATGAGAGGCAGGAGCTGTTTGTGGGAAAGAATGTTGGAGAGGTGTTCTCAGTTAAGTGGACAGATACGGTATAAAGAACAGACTGTTTTGGGGTTTTTTTGCCGCTTGTACTGCATTTCCAAAATTGACTGTCTTGAAAGCTGGTTTTCCACAATGCCTCATTGAAATAAGGTGCGTGAGATACCTCGGTTTTGCTTCTGTTGCGTTCTGCCTGAGATGGTAGCAGTGAAAGCACCCTAACTCTCGCTGGCGAGCGTCAGAACCATCAATTCTTGGCAGATTCTTTAGCGCTCAGTTGGCTTGCTGTTAACAATCTCATTCAAAGCAGTCTGTAGAAGAGGGGGTGGCGGATTTTTTTTTTCCTTGGTTTCTGCAGTTTTATGTCCCACCTGAGATGTCTTGCAAAATAGACTTAAGATCATGTTAATAGGTTTCATGATTAAAACATATGGTTGTAGGTATTCACCAATCATCGACTGCTAAAAGGAGTCTTGGTAAATAAGACTTGTGTAGAAGTTTCCCTGCCTCAGGATGGATTGTCAGCTGTCACCGTGAAAGGAGAAATAAATGGCTGGTTGGACTGTTACATTTGCTTGTTTTCACAGCCACATCTGTGCACAAAGAGTAGCAAGAACCTCTCCTTGCGAAGTAGTGTTATGTTGTAGGATAAACAAATATTTTTAAATTACAAAAGGGTCCCAGTGACAGTAGAAAACTTCCGAGGTTTTCTCTACCTTGACACCCAGGCATTAAGAATACATTTTTCTTTTTTCCTTCCTCTGTAAACAGCAGAAGGCAACTTTGCTTGTGTCTGGTGAGAACAGTGTATGTGTGCCGATACTTACAGGAGCAAAGAGAAATTCCTTCTTTAAGTTACAGTGATCTTTACAAGGATCCTGTGCAGATGGTATTCCAAGAATCAAAGCAATGGATCATTAACTCTCATGATTATGAAATGGTTGAAAAGCAGTTATGGAGAAGCTTAAATTTAAGCTTGAGTGGCCTAGCAAGCTGATTTGGGAAGGATAATTCTGTTAAATTAATTGTGATGCTGAGTGATCAGTGAACACTTCAGACATGCTGGCTGAAGACTGTGTGAGATTCTGTCACTGTGCAGATTTTGTTTCTATAAAACTACATTGCATTTTGATAGAAAGTGTCGCAAATGTAATCTACAAATATGGCCTGACTTGCCTCTGTGAGTATGTGTTTCAGAAAGACTTGCTATAGCGAGGTGTTTTGGGAAATTTGTGCCTAGGAACTTTTTTGTGTGAAGAACACACAATGGAAAGGCAAAATAAGGTTTTCTTTGGTGAAGCAAAAAGGTGTTGGATGAGAAGAGCGTTTTTGTTTCTCAATATATTTGTAATAAGGTTTGTACAAAAAATGTACATGTTTCTGTTTGGATTTTTCCTTTTTAGCAAATAATGGAAATTCATCGTTTCCTAAAGGAAGAGTTATTCCCCTCTTCTGTATTTTTTAATTTCTTCAGGTTGCTTTGTTTATTTTCAGTTACTATTTTGTATTTTTCATCTGTATATAACTGAAGACAATGAGAGAATAAAATTAATATTTATCGGTGACTTTGACACAGCCAGAACACACATAAATTGCTCTTTGTTTTGTTTAGTACTGTGGCAGAGCAAGATCATAGTGTATTGAAGAGAACTCCTTGTTTCTCTTCTTATTGGCTGGAGCCTAAGGATCTCTGATAGAATTCTTTTTCTAACAGTTTCATCTGTATTAAAGGCAGGCTACAAATTAAAACATCTACAAATGTTTTCCTTTCATGAAAAATTGGACATAAAAGCAGAGAATGGTTTTGGCTGAAACAATGCCACTGTGCAGGAATGGGCTCCGAAAGAGGTATAGTATGGTCAGCAAAAAAATGCTAAATAATCCACAACTTGCAGCATGGTGAGACTTTTCTTTAGTTAACTCCTTTTATGCCTTTAAATGCTTAATGATAAGGCACAAATTGAAGCCTTTCTGTCATACCATAGCACTGTGTCATCAGAACAAGAGTTCTATCTAGAAGCTAAAACTTGGTACTCCGAGACGTAAACCAACATTGTTACTATTGCATTAAACCAGAAGTGCCCTTTCAAACTATGTATGTTGAAGTATAATTTTATTCTATAACTTTGAATATTTCATGGTGATGACCAGCACATGTAGCTTTATACGTCTGTTGTCTATCTTCCAGTGCTTTTGAAATCAGATGGCTTTTGGCAGGACATAAAAAGGTTTATCTTTCTCTCATTTTTCTCTAAGATCTTAGTGGCTCCATAACAACTCCAGATGTTAAGCTAAATCTTGGAGGAGAATTCATCAAAGAATCTACTGCAACTACATTCCTAAGACAGAGAGGGTATGGCTGGCTTCTGGAAGTGGAAGATGATGACCCAGAAGATAACAAGCCACTCCTGTATGTCAGAATCATTTTTGGGTATCTATCTTTATTAGCTGTGTAGGAAAAACAAACGACTTGTAGCCTCTCAAATTGCCCCACAGCCTTTTGTTGTGACTAGAATCGCGTTTGACAAATTACTTAACCAACGAGCGTTTTCTGGTGCAGGAATGAAAACGTTACGTTTCTCATTCTGGGTTTTATTTTTAGTGTAGAAGAAAGGCTTGTTATTCACGGTGGGGGAGGAAGGAAGGAGGAAGTAAAATCCAATTTATTAATCTCTGTAGGTATAAAGCTTTTATGGCTTTTCTGCTCTTATCTGTTGATCTTGTAATGGTTTAAAAAATTAGATTGTGTTCTTTCTATCTTTTGTGCTGATGTTGCGAGTTTCGTAATACTGTCAAAGAATCAAAGGCTAAGACAATCCTGTGGAAAGGTTCATGTTAAGTAAATCTAAGTAAATTCTGTCAGTTACTCTGAAGTAAACGCATTGTGAATCATGCTTATTACAGTAGGGATGCAAGAAGCAAGGTAGCACAAAGTTTCTAATCTTTGATACTATCTTATATTATAAAGCTAGATTAAAATGGTGTTAGGACACAAAAATGTCCTTAAATCTGAAAATCTCTGCATCCCTTGTTCTGTTCACAGAAACGTGGTTGGCTGAAGAAAGTTTGTATCTTAAGGTTACTACACTGTGAGTCAGGCAGCCTGGGTCTTAGTCCTTGTTCCGCACCTAAGCAACTTCATTCTCAGTGTCTCAGTGTTTTCCTGTGTGCAATAAAGATAATGATGCTTTAAAAAAATGGAGTGAGCAGGAGAGTACTCTGGAGAACTCATGAGAGTGTTGGGAGAGAACAGATGCCTGGAGAGCTTAATAATGAAACTGCTACTTGAAAAGTACTTAAAGTGTGCAGAAGTAGCTCCTTGTGTGAATGTCTGTTCTGTAAACCTCTAACTTTTAATTAAGAAGCAGAATGGTGTACTGAGGTGACAACACAGGAATTCCCTCTTTTGTGTAACTTTTTATACCACAAAAACCAAGTTTGTGATTCAAAGACAGCTAGGTGTTCTAAGCTGCTGATTGCTATAAGTGAGGAGAATGTGCCAGGGAAGTGATCAGTTTGTGGCAAACAGGATGAATATAATCATCCTAACAGAGAAGACCTTAATCTGAGTTTCACGTGGCAGTTTTTATGCAGTTCTGATTATTCCCAGAACATGTGCTGTAATGAAGCCTTGTAACCTGAATCCTACTAAGGATTTAAAGAACAGCAGCCAGCTAAGGGAAGTTCACCAATGCAGTGCTACCGTGCAAGTGTTTTGTTCAACGGTGAGGTGGGTTTTTTTTTTCTTTCTCATTGGGCAGCCTGACTCCAGACACTTGTTTCCTGTTACAGCTACCATCGCTTCTTGGGTGAGGTAGCTGTCAGCTTCATGCAAAAGGCAGTTTATTCACATGAGAAACTGTCAGAAGCCCTAGGCGATGACAAAGAATTATTGCCAGATAGGAAATACTGTGTTACACAATCTTCAGAGTAAAATACAGGAATGCTACCTCCTGTTTAGATAAATGGAGGAAAATAGATGCTTCTAGTCCACTCCTTAGATTCAGGGATGTGTTAAAGAACAATTTTTGTTATTTAGCCACAGGTTAGTAATACCAATTCTGAAATAGCTTCAGTAATTGCAATTCTGAAATTGCCTTGAGAGACTCAATGAGCAGTATTTAGTTTGGGTTTGTTTTTTTTTTAAAGAGAAATTGTGGTGAATCATGACTTTGTGTTTATTTCTTGCTTCAGCTTTTCTGAGGAAAAAGCCATAAATCAAAGCCTTGTACAAAACTTTCATAAATGGACTTAGGATATCATTCTACATTTTTCTCCACTGTGCTCTTAAATGTAGAGCAGAAGGATATCTGCCAGGGAGTTTCTTGCAACTCTTCAGAGCTCCTCGGTCATGACTGCATAAGAAAAACAGTATAGCATACAGTTTTGTCTTAAGGTTCCGTGCATAAACTTAAAGAAGTAGAATTGCCCGTTACTTGGAAAGTCTGCTTCCTTCCCCTTATGCTAGGACAATCAGGACCAGATGTACCAGTTAACAGCCTCCTATGCAGAAGAATCTTTTGGTCAATTTGTAGCTGCTTACAGATAGTTTGTAGCACGGAGTCGAGAAGGTAATTGGAGAAGAGCAAGACCTGTTGATAGAATTTATTGCTAGTTGAATTGGCTTTTATTTATTTCTACCCATATTGAAAACAAGCCAGTAATTAAACAATTGGCATAAACTGGTCTGCTGAAAACTACTGTTGTTGAAGCAAGTTAAACCCCATTTTATTTTAAAAATTTATTTTACCTGATGTATTTTGAATGGTTTAGGATTAGTGAATGTAAAGATATTCTTTCTTGTAGAATTGGAACTAAAATGTTTCCATAATGACTGTGCTCGTGGCAAACTGCTCAGCGTAGGAATACACAGGCATCCTACTTTTGTGTATGCATGTCTTTGACTTTTAAGTAGTTACAGTGGTATGAATGTGTCATGTGTTCCTGCATGTCAGAAAATAGATCTACTGTCTTAATGTAGACTGTTAGGGTATGTTGTGTATGTTTTCTATTCTCAGTCACGTAATTGATTTTTTTAATAATTAAATATATCTAACTGTGTCACACCAGTTACTGAATGTGGGATGAAGGTATGGTGTTGCTTTGTTGCGGACAAACTGTTCCTTTGCTGGTCATGGCTTCAGAAAGCCTTATGGGTGACAGGAGACTTGCTCTATAAACCTGCTGTTTGCCCCCGAACTTACTTTTTTATGCTCTGTTTTATTACTGTGGTGTATAGTAATTGTTCTCATGCTTTACAATTTCAGGGAAGAACTCGACATTGATCTGAAGGATATTTACTACAAAATTCGATGTGTGTTGATGCCTATGCCATCTCTTGGGTTTAATAGGCAGGTAGTGAGAGATAATCCAGACTTTTGGGGTCCCCTGGCTGTTGTCCTCTTCTTCTCAATGATTTCATTATATGGACAATTTAAGGTAGGTATAAGCCTTCTACCTAAAAAGACATCTAAACTAAATTTGGGGACATGATTGCTAAGCATTTTGCATTCTTACGTAGGTAGAAAGTCTTTTCCTCACATACTAATGCAGGGCATTTCAAATGCTGTTTCTTGAGTTAATATGTAGAAAGACAGCAGTAAGAAATGTATTAAATAGCCCACGGATAAGTTAATCACGATGAAATGTCAGGTTTGTTTTTATACAGTAAAACAAAGGAAAGATGTGGTTTCTAGAGGACAGATTGATACTAGCGGGTTTATAGTCATATTAGTGAATCTTTCCATTTTAGTTGTGACCTTTTGTTAACGTGCTTTTTCTTACTAAAAAATGTTACCGAAGAACATTTGTTCGGATGCCATGAATTTTAATTTCCTGACAAATAAAGCTACTTGTTTAATTTGTACTATATCACCACTGTTATCTGGTGGTGATATCTTCATTAGTGCCATTTGCTATTTTGTCCTCCCTGCTCAATTACAATCAAACAACTTTCCTCTGGTCAATAGACTTTTTCCATAATCCCTTTTGAACTCTAGGGTGAATAGCTATTCAGAGGCATTGTGCAGATTTAATTGGCCTCCATAAACACTGTTAGGTTTTTTTTCTTTACGTTCATACTGAAATAGAGAAGTGGTATCATTTATAGTCACAATTTGAATGTGAGCCTGGGTGATCCTGCTTCAGAAATCTTTATGAATATATGTGTAGTTACAGTTGTTTTAAATACAATGTAGTATAGCAATAAGCCATATGTAAAGTAACAGAATGTGCTTATGCAAGGATTTTTGTGAATGGTGAGATAAAATCATTCCCTTTGCGACCTCTGGCTTCCATATGGTGTACCAAATGCTGACTAAGAACTTGCTCTCAGTATCTTGTTTCTATGAGACTTGAAGTGAGTAGACTAAACCACTGTATTATTCCAGTGGACCACTTCGCTGTCTCCTAGGCAAAGCAAGGACTGTTCCTTGATCCCATGACAGATAAACTACCTTCTGCAGTTCGTGTACCTACATACGTGAACAGTAGGTCTGACGTTTCTTAGGAACGGTGGATTTACCATATAGATGTAAGAATGTTGTGTACGTGTGAGGAGAGATAGCTAGTAGCTAGCAACAGGATGACTGACAGCAGCTAGACTAGATGAACTGAATGGTGGGCTGTAAGCTGGAGAGAGGTGAGCATTCCTGCTCTAAGACTTTAATCTGGTCCTCTTCTTTTAGACTGTGGAAGAAAGGAGGAAGTAAAAGGAGGCCATGAACTATTTTCACAAATAGCATAAAGCTGTTAGATTTATCTTAATTTTTTAAAGTGGTGCTGTGACTTTATCTGTTTTTAAATTTAAAGAAAAATCATCCTCCATTTGATTCTTCTGTGAATCTGGAACTTCTAGTTAAGAAAAAAAATTGAATTGAGTTCTAACTTCATTTTTAAGTGCAGCCGTTGTACATTTGGAAATGCAGAGACCGGACTGATACTGTTGTTTCCCTCTTAAAGGGTATTTCAGAAGGGAAGACTTCATTTCTAATTCTCCCAGTGCCTCAACTCCAAGAATAGCTAAGTTACTTTGAAGGTTCTGTTAAGCCAGAAAATTATTTTAAGATTTCTTCTTCAGTTTAAGAGCAGACCAATGAAAGAAGCAAGAAAAAATAATTACAGACTTTGTCCCAGGAGTCTGGGGCTGTTTCTGAAGTTGTAATCATCATCAAGTTCTACTGAGAGTTGAAGTCCTATGTCTTCTTCTGAGTGTTCTCAGTTTGAGTAAAGAATAAAGTGGCATCTTTGTGGATGAAAGAAGCAGAATTCCAACTCCTTGTATTGGTTGGGCTGACTTTTAAAAATTGTCCGAGCCCACTTTTTGTAATAGGTGGGATGTGAAGACATTTAGCTAGGGTGGTCTTAGCTTTAGTTTTAACTAAACCCTTCCTACTCTGATAAAAATATTACAATACTTAAAAAACACAAACATTTTGCATGTGCATTCCATGTTCACCAAACCTACCATTAATGTGATTCTGTAAATGTAACCTCTGAATTTTATTCTCAAGTTGCATTGTGATACTAAGTAAAACTATTCTTGCCGCAATTCAGAATTCATTTTTGCATAATAAAATCCTTGAATGCAGTGAAAGTGATTAATAGAAATTAGTTTTCCTTTCTCACAATGAAAATGATTAATATAAATGAATTGTTCTCTCTCTCTTAAGGTTGTTTCTTGGATTATAACTATTTGGATATTTGGATCCTTGACAATTTTTTTACTGGCCAGGGTTCTTGGAGGAGAAGTAAGTACCTGTATGTGAAAAGGACATAGGGGGAGGTAATGTAAAGTCTCTTTGCTACATTTTTCAGTAGTAGTTGGGGTTTCTTGGTGCTTGGCTTTGGACCTTGTAGCCAACTAAGAATGGACGCAGTTGGTAAATGTAATGTCTATACTTCAGGTTCTTGGCCTCCAAAATAAAATCTAAAAAACAGAGATGGTCAGCTAGTCTTTCTGTGCACGCTGGATGTGGTAAACAACCTGGAAATTTGTACTATGTATCCCAGAAATTCTAACAGGTGCCTTTGTTCCGGAACTGAAGTCCATTCTTGAGGGACAAGTGCTTTCAATTTTTTGGTCACTGAGCTAAATGGGACCCTTTCTCCTCCTTTGCACTGCTCTTGCACTGTCCTTTATTTAAACTTTTTTTTTTTTTAATGGGGCTAACAGCAGTTGTATAATGACCTCGTGGGTAGAGCACCTACCAGTGTTTGTTTTCATCCTTGGCCTGATGCAGTTCAAACCCATTAAAGGATGAAAGTCAGTGCATGTTCTTCAACTGCAAAGCCAGTTGAGATTCTGGCCTACATCCCTCCCTCCAGCTGCTTACACCAGCAGGGTTGGAATAGCTGTTTGAGCTGGTTACAAATTGAGTCACTAAGCCATTCAGATGTAAACAACAAAAAATGACTTACAGCAAGGCCCACAGACAGCTACAGCGGAAGGTTCAGGAGAGTAGAAACTTCTTAAAATGGCTCTGCAGCATAAAATGCATTGAACTGTGTCGTGAAGAACGAAATATTCAGTGGTACTTGATTTTTATGTTTTTACTATGCATCTTGCATTAGCGACGAACTAGTGTTGCAGACTTCCTACATTATTTACATTGACTTTAATTTTTTTAGGTTTTCCTTTTAATCATAATTGCTACAGTCATCTTGTGTGAACACTGTTTTGAAAGAAAAAGCTTTTATGAATGTGATTGCATGGGTTTTCTGCATACCAGCATAATCCAGATGTCCTTAAATCAATCTGTTTTGTGGCTCAAAATGTGAAATTATCAGAATGTATAAACTGGAGAGAAAGTATAGGTCTGCACAGTTCACTGTGAAGGATCAATGGCCACAAGAGATTGCTTGCAAGATGGTCACTTGTCTCGCCACTGTTTTTCCTGTTAAATCCAAGAAGCGTAGCTGGGCCCAGGAACATTTCAAACCGTAGTAGGGGAAAATCAGACATTTTAATCCCCATGAAGCTGAAAACAGTTACGGAAATACTTTGAACAAAGCTGTTCGGGATAGTCATAACAAATTTAAACTGGAAATCAGAAGATTTCTGTGCTTTAGAGGGATCGGGTTCTAGGTCTTCCACTGATGCCAAAAGCATTAATGTACTTTATGAATTTATTTACGCATAATGGATATGAGTATGTTAACACAGAAAATTATCTCTTTGCTGCTTGTGACAGCCAGGACTGCAAGCTGGTGACTGAGAGGTCTGTTGTAGTTCTGTGCTCCTCAGTATCATTTGTACACTCCATGGAGAGTGGCAGTTGAGAACCACTTAAGGCAGAACATGAAAATGTGAGGGATGGGTGGAATTACATATTTTAACCTGTGTAAATACTTCCCTTGGAAGTGATAGAATTGTCACTTACAGCGTTTTTAGGAAAAAAAAAAAAAAAGAAAAAAGAAAAGACAACATATTTCTAAGAGAACTGAATTATTAATTATAAAATTCTAGGGGCTAGGATACAAAAACAATTTTCATACTAGCAAGTTTCCTTTAGCTGAAATTTCATGAATACCTAACACATTATTATCGCTATTCATACTGTTACAACAAGATCAATTGTGTTTGGTGACAAAGATTGAGTACTAAAAAGCTTGTTCTTATGTGCTTGAAAATTACAGGTTGCTTATGGCCAGGTTCTTGGTGTGATAGGATATTCCCTACTTCCCCTCATTGTCATAGCACCTGTACTTTTGGTGGTTGGATCATTTGAAGTTGTTTCTACCCTAATAAAAGTAAGTTCAGTCTCATCTGTTGAGAATTGTTTACAGTTATTTTTAAGTCACTTTCCTAACACTTCAAGTATTAATCTGTTCAGGACAACATAACGATGCGTCGAAATATTCAGAACTGCAACGTGAGCTCTGTCATCCTTTCGGTTAGCATGGTGGATGTGACTGCTAAGCGAATTCTGTTTTAAATGTTTCTTTTGAGTACGTGGGGATATACAGTGCTGTTGCTATAACAGCACCTGTTGTTATCAGGTTAGCTTCTGTTTAAGTACTTTGCTGTGCTATAATAGTTGCATTAAAATAAATAGGATTATCATTTTGAGAAGAGGATGCATGATTAAACCACAAAATGAAGAAAACCTGAAAATAAGCTGTTCTATCCCTTCCCCCATCATCCAGTTTATTTTTAGTTACTGCAGCATGAATATGACGTTAGTCATTGTTCTGAGACCTTCCCATAGTGGTAGCAGTACAAAGCTCTCAACACCCTTTGCAGAGAAGGTAAGTATTGTTCTGATTTTACAGATGTGGAATGTAAGGCACAAAGCAAGAATAACTTGCCTGATACCACCTGCTGTTGGACACCTTTTATGAAACTAGCAACGTTCCCCGATAGATCCCAGAACTACATAACGTTCTTGAACACTTCCAGCACTTCTTAAAACCATTTAGGTAGCCTTTGAAGTTACAGCTGAACTTCTGGAAAGGCTGACTGAGAAAATTCTGTTACTAGCTAAGCTGTACGCTTTTTGAGTTCTTGTTCTGTTGATTTGATTGATTTCTGTCCTTTCAGCTTGCTGGTAAACAGTATAATTGAAGTACAACTAAAGTGTATGATAAATAACAAAATTGCTGTGTTTGTGATTTGATAACTTGCAATTCCTATTAAGTGATACAGTCAGAAAGCAAATCATTAACTTGCCAGTTAACTAATATATAACTTGAAAATAAATATATGTTAATGAAACCTCTGTTACTTGATTACTACTAACAGTCTCACCTTAACTTCAGGGCAAATCTGTGCAAGGTTCTTACCTTTGCATCATTAGTGTGAAAATGCAGGACAAGCCCCATATGGCCAAAACTGCTTACGCCGTGACAAGTACTATTTCTTATGGCTTGAGAGCTCTGTGCTTGGGGAAATACTTCGCAGTCCTAAAGTTGGGGAACTTACAGTGAAATAGTGAAATTCCAGTCAGTTCTTTTCCAGTTGCAATCAGCAAAGTAAACTACTCAAGTAATGCACCTCGATTGTTTTAATTGCTGCAATTTTCCTAATGTATCTTAGGGAATTCAGTCATGATTTTGATTGTCCGTCTTGTCCATCTCTGCAGTCGTGGGTTAGGCAGCAAAAACAGAAGTATGCAATCACATGCAATTTTTTTTGCTTTGGTTTTTTTTTTGTTGTGGGTTTTTTTACAATAGCAGTTGAAAGGGCCACATAATCCCTCAAGGGGCTTCAGCTCCTCTGACAGAACTGTGGAAAAAAGTCTTTGCTGGGGTCCTGTTATGTCTGCCCGCTTTGGTCTTGTGTTTTGCAGATTACAGTGTTTTTGCATGCCACTCAGTTTTAAGTATTTTTCCTTTTTTATTAATATTCAAGGTGCTAGAGGATGATAATGTCTGATTACTTTTTGCTGTAACCTTGTTAGTTTGAGGTTTGAATCGAGTTCACTGACCTCAAGACATTTTTTTTAAAAGTATGCATGCTAACTTCATATAACATAGCGGATATTCATAGGTAATGTTACTTTTTACCAGTCTTTTAAACTGGTTCTTTCTTAGCTTTGTAAGGAATATAGTTTTTGTTACAGATTGTATTTTGGCAGGCTTCTCGCTGCACCTGAAAGGAATAGGAATGTGAGGTTCAGTTACCTTGAGGTGGGGGCACCATACTTAAAGAAAAGCTTATGAGCCAGACGAATCCTGAAGTAAGAAATGGTAATTCAACCCTCTGGTATATATTGTAGGAGGAAGAGTCAAGTATAGTAACTCTTTTGCTTAAAGAAAGGGAGGGGTTAATAGCTGGGGACAGTCAAGGTAGAAACAAAAGTTATTAATCCAGTGACATTTCAACTTACCAGTGTATGTAAGCTTAGGGCTTGCTTTATGGTATCTATATGTCTTACATTAGAGAAATCTTATTGTAGATCCTTAGCTGCTCACTTCAGTAAAAATGTCTCAAACAAAAATAACATGCCTATTTGTTAAACATTTCTCTAAACTTAAATGAAAATGCATAGTCTATTCTTTTTGTGTGCATGTATGTGTGTGGAGTTCTTCCCCCCTCCAAATTCTTTTTTGGAGGGTTTCTTTTTAATTACATTGAGAGAAGAACTGATTTTTATCTTGGTATTTGGAGACATTTTCTTGTGGTTTCAGCTAAGACTGTTCATCTTCTTTTTCAGTTGTTTGGAGTCTTTTGGGCTGCATACAGTGCTGCATCATTACTAGTTGGAGAAGAATTCAAGACCAAGAAACCCCTTCTAATTTATCCAATCTTTTTATTATACATTTATTTTCTGTCCTTGTACACTGGGGTGTGATCTAGTGCAAGATGTGGCCAGAAACCATATTTTATTCATTTGCAGACTGATAATGCGTAAGATTAAGGAGGCTGGAGATAATACAAGTGACTGTTTTGTATCCAGTTGTCAAGATGTTTTAAGATCGAAGAGCATATTTGTGTATATTATTTAATGAAGCAATTGTAGCTATATAGATTTGTATCAAAGTTCTAGGTTTGTTTAAGACTCTTCAGATTTTAATGAACAAAATAAAAGAACCTTGTGTTTTATAAGAAAGTGTAGCAAAAACACGACTCGATACCTGTGCCAAAAGCACTAGGACCAGATTACTATATTTGAGGAGAAAAATGAGAAGGTAACTGTAACAATCTCAAAGTGCAATTTTTCTTTTGAGCTTAAACACAGCTGGCTTTTTTGGCACAGCAAGTTCTGTAGATAAGATATATTTATGAAACAGTCCTGATTGTTCACAGAATAGTCTGTATAATCAAGACATGAAGATACTACTTTTAATTTAGTGCCTCAATTACTTTGATTTGGCTATTGAGTTTTTACAAATTCCAATTTGTTTTCAAAACATGTATATACTGTGTATTTTGTATCTATGGCTTGTGTGTAGCGTAAATACTCCTTGGTTAAGGATGTATATTGGGTTTTTAAAAATTGAAGATACAAGTATTTGAAGTCTTCACTTACTATCTCTGACCAAAGGAGCAAGATATTTACTGCGTGACATAATTAATTAAAATGCATATTTAGAGAATCAAATTATTTTACTTAAAAGTATAAATTTGCAGAGAAACAGGTGAACACCTTTCTCAACTGTAATGCTGGCTTAATGTTGGAGAAAAAAGATGATCTATCAAATTTGTGTGATCTTTAAACAATGTTATTTTATGATGACGAAATAAAAATAATGCTTCCCTAACTATGTTTTACAACATCTTGCTCTGTCTTGCTTTTAATAGCATGGTATTTAACATGCATCCATTTTTTTTTTTCCCCAGTACTATTAATCCCTTGTAAAGAGAAATAAAAAAGATTTGTGAGGCCAGATTCTCCCTCCACTAAATAAGGCAGAATTACAGCCTTAGTAACAATTACAGTCTTGCTAATTTTGACTATCCGAGGATTATGTAATAACGTGATGACATGTTAAATATTTCCTGTGTACTGTGTTGATTGCTTATGTAATGGTCCTTATGGTAACGTTTCTTCACAAGGGAAGTCCGCTGAAGTTCACTTTGCATGGTACTAACTTAGGCATTTGTAATCTTCAGTTTTGGGTTTTTTTTTTTTGGTAACAGAAAGAAAGCATTCCCCATGTCTTTTTTTTTTTCTTTTTTTTTTTTTTATGCTGCAAATAAAAATCGACCATGACAAGGTAATAGCAAGGGCTGGTTTTGATCCCTGATGGACATATTTCCTTATCAGAACTGTAGTTTTTCAGCTTTTTAGACTGTGTAACTTGCCATTTTAGTAACTTATTTTTACCACTCGTTACTGATGCAAAATACATATTTAAATTCCAGCTCTACCACAAACCTTTAGCTTATTCGGTCTGCTCTTCTGGCTGATGCTTGTGTTGGTTTTAAACAGAACTACTTAGATTTGATGCTGGACATAAATTATAATGTAATACTCTAGCTTGTAATACATTAAAGGAGAAAAACTGGTAGAGTGATCGACTTTTCACTAATTTTTGGGTTCTGCAGAAGTTCTGGTGGAATTACGGCAGTCGTACTAAAGCAATTACAGGAGCAGCTTAGTACTTACCTGCAAGTGTTTTGTGAGCATTCGTACCACATTCTAAAAAAAATACGCAATTACAGTGTATTAAAAAAAAAGGCATGTTAGCTTTGGAATCTTGCATGATAATCTGGTCTTATCTCTTTTTCATGACTTGTATTGCTTTTTTAACAGGAATATCCAACTAGTATTAGAAGACTCAATCCAGACCCTGTGAATACGTGTTTAACTAACATCACCCAAACATTAGGTTACTGGGCTGTCAGAGAGCTTTAAGCTTAGTTCCTCTTTGCGTAGCTGTTCATTAGATGTCCATAATGGCTCCTGTGCATCTGAAATGACTATGAATATTCAAAGGATGCAAGAATGTTCTATTTAATCTCCAAATATCTTCATTTTCTCTATACTAATGTTCTGTGAAATTTATAGTTGCAATTTTAACTGTTCCTTTCCACAGACTTGGCACGTGTATAATATGCAATGTAGATATGCACTTAACATAGTACATATTTTGTACACAATTGCAGATTTGCACCTTTTAATCTTAGTATCTCTAGGGTCACCTTTTGCATATGCTGTGCAAGAAATATGTACAAACAGCTCTCAAATGGTTCTGATAGTTTGTAATAACTTTGCATTCAACAAACTCATATTTTTAGATGAGGTATGTGTGTAAATACGAGATGTATTTTATAAGAATTTTGAATTAAACTTGTTTACAGAATGTATGAAGCTCATTTATATTTACTGAATTAAGACATATGTATATTCCTATCCATATCATCAATCTCAAGCTTTGAGGCTGTAAGTAAGTTTTTGTGATAGTATATATCCTACTTCTGTCTGTCAAAACTGGAAACTCAGAGCACATCCATCTAGCAAAAAGTTCCCTTTCCAAGATGCAACACGTCATTTCAAGGTAGAGACATGGGAATCATACTTTAATAACGAGACACGCTCTTTGGGCGATCTTCCGTGTACATGTCTTTCTCCCTCTTCTACCCATCAGACATACTCTGTTGTTCATCAGAAAAACTGTACCTACTTGAGAAGTATATGAAATCAATTGCTTTGATTGGAGACGACATACAGCTTCAGATCTGCTTTAAGTTTTGTCACTACCCTTATTGGTCTTTAATGTTTTGCTTGAAGTCATGAAGCAAGCTTAAAAGCTGCTTATTTTGCTCTCGGGACGATTTTGATTAGCCTGGGTGGTATACACGCATACCCATGTGGTTCTGGTTTTGTTTGGTTCTTTTTTTTTCTTTACGCAGACACTGTATTTCTTAAATCATTTTCAAGCTACAGCAGCCTGTGTTAATTTGGGTCCTTCTAATAAAAATACTCTTCTGTAGGAAACCACATTATATTTGAAACTTCATTATATTTAAGACCATCAGTAGCCTAAAAGCTTTCTCAAATATTTTAGCAGAACATGCTACTTGGATAAAAGAATGCCTACAGGTAGTCTTAGCTACACAAGCTGTTATTCCAGGGGGTGAAAAGGGAAAATCTCAACTATATAAAACGTTTTATTATACTTATGTCCTTTTTGAAGCATGGTGAATACCGCTTCAGAACAAAATGCTTTCATGGGCAGAATGACTCCATCCCTACTTTTGGGGGTAAAAAAAAAAAAAAAAGGGACTTCAGGCTGGAACCATCGTGTGTATTTACACACCCCGCAACAATCCGGCCCAGACGAAGAGGCAGGAGCTCCCCTCCCCCGCGGGCGGCCAGGGACACCCTTCGCCCGGGCCGAGTTTACTCCGAAAGGAAGCTGTAGCAGACTAGCAGTTCGACTTTTTCACTCGGTACCACAGCTGGAGGCAACGTAACTACGGCGCTCTCGCACCACTCTTCACGTACAAAACGACGGCCAGTCCCAGAGCCGGGGTACGAAAAGGAAGTCCCCACCCGTTTCCCCGAAGCGGGAGGCGGCAAACGCGCTCGCCCGCTTACGACCCAGTTTTTGTCCGGAGCGGTAGCGGCACCGCAGCGACGAGGGCCGGGGAAGGGCGACGGCCGGCTGACCGCGCTCGAGCCCCGGAGGAAACGGAGCCAGAACGGGGAAGTTACGCCGACTCCTCACAAGAGAGCGGCCCTCCACCCTGAGGAGGAACCCCGACCCCCGCTGGCCTCGGGCCGG